TTGTGTGATCAAGAAAAGGTTGTAGAGTTACTTCATTGCACTGGTTTCAGTTATCAAAATATTTTCTGGATAGCACTTTTTTTGCTTCAGTAACATATGTGTAATACGCGGGGAATGCAGAACTAATAACATCCAACACACACTGCCGGACATTAAAAAAAAAAATTGTTGCGTGTGTATTAACGTACGCGTCTCCAAACCAATAGGAGGGCGTTGAGTGCTTGCTTTTAAGAGATAATCCTCCGTTAACATTTATTGGAATAATCCTCCGTTAAATTGGTCTACTGTCCTGTCTCGCCTCAGTCAATATTGTGAAGAGGTCCGCCAGGCAGCATTTCGGCGTACACGCCTCGCTCATGCTCTCTTGCGTCACTATTCAGCAGCCACAATTGAGCAAGTATTACGAAAGTTGTAGGTTTTAGGACTCTTCACAGTGGTCGGACTAGCCTTTGCGAAGCAGCAACAATTAAATGTGGACTTTTTGTTCATTTAAAGGCTTTCTGATGTTTTGTAGCTCATCCAGGGGACTTCGTGGTAATGTCTTTGAAAATATTGGTGGCAGTAGAGACTTCCAATGCTCGTATGCTCATAACAGAGAGTGTGTGTATATATATATATATATATATATATATATATATATATATATATATATATATATATATATCATACTGGTTGCGTGCGCAACCAAAAGATCCTGTGAATGTTGTTGACTCAGGACTAAATTCCTGTTACATTCTGCTACATTATACTTTAAATTGGTTTAATAAAATTTATATTTCTGAAATATAAGATTTTTAAAATTGAATTCCCCCCAACATTGTACCTTCACATTTGTTGTTTTTTCAATTTATTTATCAAATTCTTAACCTGTGACCTAAAAAACTCTATCAACCAAATTGTCAAATTCTTAATCATTTTTTAGTAAAAATGTCCGCTATATTAATTTTTTAAAAGTATAACATTAGATTCTCACTCGTTATATTAAAAAAAACTTGTTTATCACACGATTTCAGATATATAGCCTAATACCTTCACATTTTGGCCAGCTTTTATTCATTTAAGTCCACTGTGCAGATTCAAAATTTGGGGCAAAAATTAGTTCTTAATTAATACAAACTTCTGGTATTTTTATTTTTATTGCTTCATGCGTATTTCTTGGGTGCGGATGCTAACTTGACGTTAAGTTAGCACACACACTCTTAAACGAGGTACATTTTGATTTTTTGCATTGGTTCAAAATGTTTAAATTGGGTTATTAATTAGCACAAAATTCTGTTGTTGTTTTTGTTTTACTTTTTTTGGTTCATCCGTTTTGCTTGGTTGGGAATGCAATTTCAACATGAAGTTAGTCACACACTTACACGTGGTATATTTTGGTGTTCTGCATCGGTTCAAAATTTTTATATTTGGGTTTAAATTAGTTCTTAATTAGTACAAAATTCTTTTGTAATTTTCTTACTCTTTTTAATTTTGTGATAAGTGGAGTGCTAACTTTACAGATATTCGGCAGAATCGATGTTGGAATTCAAGCTTCCCATACAGTTCAGTAGTGTCATATCACGAATACAGCGTCGAAACAGGTGCTCTTGGGCGGCAACCAGAGTACAAGAATGTGGCTCAACATGGCCAACTTAACAGGAACGCGGAAAGGCGAATGCCACACAAAAATGACTTTACTTGACGTCTGAGCTCCTAGTTCTCAACCAGCATGACTCGCTACTGACTTAACACTTTGATCTCACTCGGAACGGCGCGGAAATGGTTTTTCCAATTTTGGTTTTGATTTAGAATATTATGGCAACGATTTTTTGCATTGACGTCTGGACTACGATTTTTATTTTCTTATTATTATTAGAGACAATACAAAACGGTAGAGCCATCCTGGATCCTCAGGAAGTTCATAGGACACCTTTAAAAGACCTAGGTTTTGTGTGGAAGCGAGTGCAGAACTAGAGCACTCTGTTGTTAGAAAGAGATGACATTGTCAATTGTCTAATTTCCTTGCTAAAATGAAGCACTTTTGGGAAGACGGGTGGGAAATGTTTACTTTCTCACTACTGCTTACGTAGTATAGAAAAAGTATTATAATGCTCCGACAGAAAAAAAACTCTTATCGCCGGGCCCTGGTACCGAAAAAGGGCACAAACCTTGCCCTACATATAGTAAATTACTTCCTATAACACATTGTGTAGTCAGAATTCGTTCCGTGGGTACTTTATACTGGAAAATCGATTGACGGCAAAACGTCCGTCTGTGACCAACACTAGCGGCTGATTTCCCAATCAATCTGGCTGATGTCGCGGTCCCTTGATTTCGAAACCGGTATTTTCATTTTATGTGGTACGTGACATGAAGCCCCTGAGACATTTTCAAAATAATAGCACCGACTTTTTTTTATTAAATTTTGTTCTTGGATAGCGTAAAGAATGCTTTAGATAAAAGCGTAGTTCTCATTTTCTCGGAAATATATGATTTTTCTAAAATTGCTATTTTCGGCGCCTTCCTGCTACTATATTACGAAGATGCTTTTTTCCCGTAATGAAATGTGTTAATCAGAAACAGATATTGAAATAAAGTCAAGTTCAATTTTTCGAAAGGGGGAGTATTTTCTGCTAAATTTTGCGTCAAACATAGGTCATTTTTAAATTTCAACCAATTGTTTTCTAAAAAAAAAAAAAAAAAAAAAAAAAAAAAAGATTTCATTCAAATTTTTCACAAATGTAAATAAAGATGGTAAAGAAAGTAGTGCTGAATCAAATTTCAGCGCACTCTCTGTATTTTCGAAAATTGAAAGAAAAAACGTATTTTAAATTCCAATTTCCCGCGCTTTGACGCACTGACGCAAAATGGCAACACGACGGTTGGAAATTCTTAGGATTTTTGTCATCATTGCCACTCGTGATATGTAAATAACATTCTTATGGAAGAAAATTGAACAAAATAATTTGTTTTATTTAAAGAAGTTCTTATCTTGCATTATATATATATATATATATATATATATATATATAATGCAAGCTTGCACTGGCAAATTTTATGAGCATGCGCAAATAAACTAAAAATATGCGAAACTGAACTGCGCAGATGCAGTAAAAAGATGCGGAACTCTAATTGCGCATGTGCAGAAGATCAATTTATCTTAAATGTTCGAAGGTTTAACTTTATTCCTGGATTTCAAAAATATAGGCGGCAATTTTTGCATGCCTACAAGCGACGAAGTTGTTAATCCGCTTCTGGGGACAGTACTTCCAAAAGATTAATAATTAAGATTCTGCGAGAACTGCACACGAGAACCAAGTGATCGCAACCACAGATACGTAAAAAAATACAAGGTGGTCAACCTTTCTATAAAAAACTGCACTAATCGACTCAATAACCCTTATATAATTCAAAATCAATTTACCAAACATCAAAAATGTATTCAAACTTCACTATCTACAACAACACGCGCAGGTTGCAGTGACATTTAGACGAAAAAAAGGGGGGGGGATATCCCACGAGACCTAGTGCTTTGTGATGTAATCCTGAGGCGCCCTTTATGTTTCGTTCCGGCACTAAAACACAAGGGAGTGACCGAGGGGCTCGCGATGTGGACGCACAGGAACGCGCAGACAATTGGTTGGAGCGTGCTTCACAATGTTAAACATCCGTAAGCACGACCTTTCACATCGGCGCGTCTGGCTTGCAACTAAGCGCTGAAGAGAGAATTTTACGGGTAGTGTTTATTTTCATTATATCATACATTGCTATTGCAACTATATCTCGATTATTGAAAGACAGTACATCGTCAAGGCATATTCCTAACACAAGTATTTGGGGACTATCTGGGGGGGGGGGGGGGGGGG